ATGATACCTAGACTTAAACTATTTCATTGCATATTACGGTCCCAGATATAGTTAGCACCTTTGGAATAAATATAATAAGTTAAGAGATCAGTGTGTAAGGTATTTTCGGATTACATCTGGCCAATGTAATTTTTGAATCTATAGGTACATAACTGAACTTGGACACTTTATTATATTTGGGAATGTGAAAAATGTATGTTTTAACTTTGTTATCTACAGATGGCTAGTAGATCAAGAAGGTCAGAAAGAATCACCCACCCCAATGAAGAAGAATCCCCTGTTGCTCCTATTGGCACCTCTAAGGGCAGAAGCAGAGGCAGAGGTAGAGGCAGAGGTAGGGTGCAGACCAGAGGCAGAATAAGCCAGCCATAAATTTATATGAATCAAGCAGAATCAAACTCTGAAAATATGAATCAAGAACGGATGTCTCACCCATAATATATAACAAGAGACATATTAGCTGAAGAAATGGGAAAGCTAAGGGAGACATTGACTTCTATTTTAAAGAATCCTGCCAGAATAGAGACAGGCAKAATTGAAGTTACTCCATCAATTCCAATTCTCAATAACAGGGAAGGAGATATAAAGATGTTTCTAACTTGTAAACCACCAACCTTCTCGGGAGAAAGAGATCCAATTACAGCTATGTGTTTGGTCAAAGAGATGGAGTCTGTATTCAATACCATCCGATGTGCATAAACAGATAAAGTCAGATTTGCAGTCTCTGTGCTGAAATCAAATGCGTTATTTTGGTGGGAAGTAGAATCCTTAGCCAGAACCAATATTTTGCAAACTATGACATGGCTAGAGTTTTTCAACAGATTCAAGGAGCAGTTTTGCCCAAAAGCTGCCATTMGACAAATGGAAGAAGACTTTCTAAAATTGGAACAAGGAGACAGAACTGTAAGGGAATATACAGAGAAATTCATCGAATATTCAAGATTTGCAGAACATTATATTTCTTCGAAATCTAGAAAAGTGGAAAGGTATATTTGGTGATTGAAACCATCAATCCGAGAATTTGTCATAGCCATGAATCCGGCTACATTTTCATTGACCGTTGACGCAGCGGAGGTAACAGAAAGAAACAAGAACAGACAAGAAGAAGGGAAAGCAATAGAAAAGAGGAAATGAGAAGGTCCATCAACCGGATACAAAGGACCAGAAATTGTAAAACATGGAAACAG